TCAAAGTGGCTTCTCATGAAAACAGATATAGACATGCAATACTGGTCAACCAAAGACTCATTGACAGTTTCTTTCAGCAAAGAAATAGAAGACAGAAGAACATCCATGTTAACTGTCATGTATATACATACATACAAAATTTCTCCTTCTTAAAGGGGGAGGTCATGGTAGGAGGTGGGAGAAGAGTTAAGAGAATCAAGGCGCCACCAGCCTCCTCTGTGAGCACAAAGGAGAAAGGCAGCAGGTTGTGCCCCTTGATAATGGCACGTTGCAAGTTCCAGGGAAAAGTCAATACAGCTGAGATCAGGTTGTTTACCTGGGCATGTACTAATGGATAATAGAAGGCAGATGAATCTTGTGCTACTTTAATTTCTTGCACCCGAGTTGAAGCAAGTAAAAGCAGGATGAGCCAAATGTTCGCAGCTCCTCTGCCTATTAGAGGCAAGAGACCCCTGTCTGCCCGCATGCTAAACTGAATCTATATTTGTTTGTCTTTCATCCTCATTTGCCCCCAGGTCAGGGTGACAAACTGGTAGGACTAGGTCCCTATAAGTGGTCCCTCGGTGGGGAAAACCTGGAGTGGGCTGCTTCCCATGGATGGTACCAAGGGAAGGACCTGGACCAGTGTAGGCCAGACTGCTACACCAAAATCCCTCACTGAAATGGAGTATTTGACAGTGCTCACATTGCAATTCTTATAAGGGATTCTTTATCAAAGGGTAACTTTAGTAGGACCTAAAGCCAGGATAGTCATGATGCATTGGTCATTTGATCCTGCTCAACTTCAGTTATACACTAGGTTGCCCACAAGTATCAATAGATCACCTATATTCAGCTTTATGCAAATCTACTCCTATATTGAAGGAACTGTCCATGAAAGGGATAAAGAGGGTACAAGTGAAGCCCAATGTGAGAGCAATCGACAATGGCTACAAAACTGACTTAAAGGCTAGAAGTGAAAAGCTATTCCAAATGAAAACTGTTCCAGAGTATTTCCTGGTCCCGAAAGTAAAAATCTGGACCTTCCCTTGTGAAAACGTGGTTTAATTATGGATATTCAAACATTAAGTAAGTTATTACATTGGTTAGGTAACCCACCACACACTTTGGTTCCCTTTAGTTGGCTTTTCTTAGTATTTTTTGGTGCAGGTACTGTCTGAAAACTGAGGTAAGAACTAGAAATCATTTTTGATTAACCAAATATTCATCTTAAGGGGTAACATATTGGTTTCACACGTTGGGGTCTACCATGTGAAAAGGAAAGTAACCCTACCATGTAAAAAGGGAAAAGCACATTAA